AAGCTGCAAATGCTTATGTCAGTAAAGAAGAAAGATTTTGTTTTTTAAAGACTTTTATTGGGGAATCGGGAGAAGGGGAACAGACAAGTTGCTGTTGTTTTGTTCTTCAGTCTAGTTGTGGAGGATGTTGCTTCACTGGCCCAAGCTGGCACCATCATTGCGCCATTCCCGGGCAAGGCAAATTAGTCGCCGGCTTCTGGACGGCCGCTCATGCTGGCTGCTGGCTACACACGGTAGCTTATGGCAACCCATTGCAGCAGGGTACTGCAGCCTACGCTGTCGCCAGCAACCCACGGCAGTCCAGTCCCAGGTCGAGCTGCCGTTCACCATCTTAGTTGCAGAGGGCAGTGTCTCTGGCCCTCATATGTGGGATCCGAACCGGGGCCCTCTGGCATCCCAAGCCAGTTCTTCGGCCGGCCCTCAGATTATAGTTTCTTGATTTTTAAGAGGAAATACGTAATAGAGTGTTTTCATTGCAACTTTGGACTGAGTCTAGAAAGATTATTGTTTTACAGTGCTTCTCCTACAGGCAGGAACTAAGTAAATATTAATTTTATTATATTTTTATTTTCTGTTAAAGTTTTTGGTGTTTTGTTTTGAGGCAGTATATGCTTATAATTTTAGCTGAATTTTATGGACAAAAGAATGTCATAGATGTTAAGATTATAATTGCCTTTATTCTGATTAATGTTTTTGTTGAGATGTAGAAATTAAAAATTCCCTGAAGGACTAGTCATTTTATAATACATTCTGCTGTGAATTTTTTTGTCATAAACCAAATAATTTTGGTTTCCTCAGTGAAAATTGATAATTGAAACTTTTTTGAGGCTCCTGTCACACAAAAATAGGGAAAAATGGAAATTATTAGGCTATACCAGGAAAAGTATTAAACTATTATAAAAACCCAGTGAAGTATATACATGGAATTTAATTTTTACTCTTACATCATTCTTGGAAATTTGAGGTTAGAAAAATATTATAATCACTTTTTGTACTTTTTTTCATCTTTAAAATGGGGGTCATATTTATTTGTACTGTTATTTCCAGAGTTAAAGATAATGTATGTGACTGCCTGATTTTCAGAGTTACAGATAATGTATATGAATGCCTATTTAATGTAACATTTCTTGAGTTTTGGATAGTTTGGGTTCATGTTTGTTCCTGGCATATAATAATTTTATATTTTTAAAGAGTGCAAGAAAATAATTGTAATTATGTAATTGTAAGTATATATTAACAATATTAATTTTGGGATAGATTTTATTAATCGGTTTGAAAGAATGCTTTTTAAATTGAAACAAATGTTTGAATAATATGGACTATGATTCCTTACATTTGACGTATTTTATAATTTCCAAAGTATTGTTGTATTTTTAATCTCATATAGACTTTTAGTTATAGAGCTGTAAAATGGGCATGTTAATAATATGTACTTCTAAATGGGTGGAGGTTATTGTGAGAATTGAATGAGATATATTGCATAATAAGTACTTAAATACAGTGCTAGATACATTGAAAGTATTTATTAACTATTTGTGTTCATTTAAACTATTTTTCTTTAAATTGATTTGTGCCTCTTATTTTGTTTTTAATTACCTATTTTTGGTTAAGGTATAACATCTAGTAAGGTACTTAAGTCTTAAGTGTACAATGTGATAAAATTTTAATATGTTTACATCCATGTAGTCACCTTCTAGATCAATATGTAGAACATTTTTTTAAAAAAGATTTTATTGGGGAATTGGGGGAGGAGAACAGCGTTGGGGAATCGGGGAAGGGGAACAGAGAAGTTGCTGTCCTTTTTTGTTTTTAAGTCTAGTTGTGGAGGACGTCGCTTCACTGGCCCATGTTGGTATTATCATTGTGCTTTTCCCTGGTGAGGCAGTCATTTGCTGGCCATTGGACGGCCTCTCATGGCAGCTCATGCCTGCTGCCAGCCGCCAGCCGCTCATGGTAGCTTATGGCAGCCCACTGCAGCCTCATTGCAGCCTACGCTGTTGCCGGTGACTCTAGGCAGCCCCGCTCCAGGTCGAGCTGTTGTTCACCATCTTAGCTGTAAAGGGCACAGCGTCACTGGCCCATGTGGGATCCGAACCTGGGTCCTGCTGCTCAGAGCTGGTGTCCCAAGCCAGATCTTAACCAACACGTCACTCGGCTGACCCACAATGTCTTTTGATGAACAGAAGTTTTAATTTTAATGCAGTCTAATAAAACCAGTTCGTTTTCTTTTACAGTTAGTGCTATTTTTGCATTCTGTTTAAGAAATCGTCATCAACCTGAGGTCATGAAGATAGTCTTATTTTTTAGAAGCTTTTATTCTTTTGCATTTCATATTATAGGTCTATGCTGCATCTCTAATTTTTGTGTATTGTGTGAGATAAGAGTCAATGTTAATTTTTTCCATACAGACATCTAGTTGCTTTAGCACCATTTGTTAAAAATTGAATTTCACTGGAGCTTTTGTCATAAATCAAGTAACTATATGTGTGAATCTGTTTCTGGAGGTTTTTTTGTTTGTTTGTTCTATTGGTCTATCCTTGTGCTAGCGACACTATCTTAATTGCTATAGTTTGTCCTCCAGCTTTATTTTTCTTTTAAGATTATCTTGGTGGTTCTAAGTCCTTTGCATTTCTATATGTATTTTAGAATTGTTTTGTAGCATCTTAGTTTCTACACATATGTGTGCATGCATGTGCGTGCGCGTGTGCGCGCATGCGCGCACACACATACACACACATACACACACACATACACACACACACACCCTCTGCTGGGATTTTGATTTAGATTGTGTTGCATCTATAGATCATTTTAGGGGAGAATTAACATCTTAACACTATTAAGTCTTCTAAACTATGAACATGGAATATTTCTTCATTTATTTAAGTCTTCTTTAATTTTTCTCAGGAATGTTTTATAGTTTTCAATGTAGAGGTCTTATACATTTTTCATTAGATTTATTAATACTGATATTTTCTGATACTGCTCTCAGTGGCATTTTTTTGACAGTGAATTAAAAAATTTTTGAACTTTGTGTATATAATCATGACAATAAAAATATAAGTGAATTTTAATTAAACTGAATTGTTTGCATAAGGTACAGTTGGCAATGACTAAAACATGGATGTAGTATCTTATTTTCTTGATTAATTCTTTAGTTTTAAAAAATTAACAGTTAAATGCTATTTAAAAAAGAAACTTAAAAAGAAGCTTAAGAAGGCTTATGGGTGTTTCTTTTTAGGTATATCTTTCATATAATAAAATGCACAAGTCTTAAAAATGTGCAGTTTGATGAGGTTTTTTTCCCTATCCAACCATGAAGCCACAACCTAGGTTAAGATATAGGACATTTTTAGTAGCTTTAAGCTTTAAGCGTCTTCCTAGTCAATCCTACACCCTCCCGCATAGGTAACTTACTGAGAAGGCTTTGCTTATGAACATTTTGTCATTATATGAAATTGAAGAAGTAAATGCTTTTGAATTATTAAAAAGTGGGTTTTTTCTTTTCTGCAGAAATGATCGACAGTGTTGTTTTTGGGGTGTTGTTAATTGGGGTTAAACTATGATATTTACATTATCCCAAAAGAATTGTACTCTTTTACTTCATGGGAGGTATAATTTGAACTGTGTTATAAAGTTGTATAGTGAGAAGCTTATCAGTGAGGTGTTTGGTAATTAATTGCTTTAGTGAATATTGCTTTTAATTGACTTTTTTCTTAACACTTTTAAGTATGTATACTTATTTTAGTGGTTCTAGCACCACAGATCTTATTATCTCCAGCAAAAATCTACTTTTAGGTCTGATGGTCAAGAATAGGATGAAAAGTTGGGAAATTGAGGTTGGTGAAAAATTGAAATGAAATAATAGGAAAGATTGGCCTCCTAGCAAGCTAGTTTTATATAAGTAGTGAATCTGGCACATATTAGACACTCAGCAAGTCAGTGGTGACTATGAAGCCACAAAGTCCAACCATAGACTGAAGGTCAGGGAAGATGCCTACTTGGTTTTCAGAAAGTACTAGTTGTTTCCTGCTGTTAGTATTTTCCCCCCAATGGATTAGTTGAGGAACACACGTAGACCCACAATATATACACACACATATACATATTTTTTAAACTTTTAAGTTGGAGTATAACATACGAGTATAGAGACAAATGCACTAATTAAAAGTGTATATATAAGTGTTTCACAAGGACGTATTTGTTTAATAAAGTCTTTGTGTTTTCTGCCATTCACTACCTCCCCCCAAAGGTAACTAGTATCCTGACTTCTAACACTACAGATAGATATGTAAATGTAATAATATAATATGTACTATGTTTGGTTGACTTCTTTTGCTCAGCATCATGTGTATGTAATCCATCATATTGTTGTCTACAACAATATAGATGAAACAAAGTAATTGTTTCATTCTTTTTGTTATAGTACAGAAAGTATAATATTTGATTAGCTTAGATAATCATAGGGCAAAGTTAACTGCTTAAATCCTTTTCTTCCTAAAGCAGTTTCTACCACAGTGTTAATGTAGGGATTGGGGTGGCTTTATTACTGACTTGCTGAGAGGAACTGGTACGTGGGGGACCCTGGAAAGGAGGAACGTGCTGTACTCTTAAGAGCTTGGTGGTAAAGAAGTTACAAACCGCCATACATTTCCTCTATGTTTTCTGAAATTTACTTACTTTTGCTAGTGGAAAGTTGAGTTTTTTAATGTTTATATACTTTAGTAATAACAGTAATAGCCAATAATAGCTAACATATATTGAGCTCATACTAGGTACAGGTACTATGCAGAGTGCTTTACTTAAATTACCTGATTTTATTTTCACCAAAACTAATGTTTTATTACTATTTTGTAGATTGAGGTTTTGGTCAGTGCAAATGAATATATTCTTTAAACTTACATTAGGATATGTGGCCTTCATTTTTTTAACCTTTGTTCTTTCTATGAATAGGTATGTCATTGACGGTGCCACTGCTCTTTGGTGTGCAGCAGGAGCAGGACATTTTGAAGTTGTTAAACTTCTAGTCAGCCATGGAGCCAATGTGAACCATACTACAGTGACTAACTCGACACCCCTGCGGGCAGCATGCTTTGATGGCCGACTGGACATTGTGAAATACCTGGTTGAAAATAATGCCAACATCAGCATTGCCAACAAGTATGACAACACCTGCCTAATGATTGCAGCATATAAGGGACATACTGACGTGGTCAGGTACCTTTTAGAACAACGTGCTGATCCCAATGCTAAAGCACACTGTGGAGCCACAGCATTGCACTTTGCAGCTGAAGCTGGGCACATAGATATTGTGAAAGAGCTGATAAAATGGCGTGCTGCTATAGTAGTGAACGGCCATGGGATGACACCATTAAAAGTAGCTGCCGAAAGCTGTAAAGCTGATGTTGTGGAACTGTTGCTCTCACATGCTGATTGTGACCGAAGGAGTCGGATTGAGGCTTTGGAACTCTTGGGCGCCTCCTTTGCAAATGACCGTGAGAACTATGACATCATGAAGACATACCACTATTTATATTTAGCCATGTTGGAGAGGTTTCAAGATGGTGATAACATTCTTGAGAAAGAGGTTCTCCCACCAATCCATGCTTATGGGAATAGAACTGAATGTAGAAATCCTCAGGAACTGGAATCTATTCGGCAAGACAGAGATGCTCTTCATATGGAAGGCCTTATAGTTCGGGAACGGATTTTAGGTGCCGACAATATTGATGTTTCCCATCCCATCATTTACAGGGGAGCTGTTTATGCAGATAATATGGAATTCGAACAGTGTATCAAGTTGTGGCTTCACGCCCTGCACCTCAGACAGAAAGGTAACAGGAATACCCACAAGGATCTTCTTCGATTTGCTCAAGTTTTCTCACAGATGATACATTTGAATGAAACTGTGAAGGCCCCAGACATAGAATGTGTTTTGAGATGCAGTGTTTTGGAAATAGAACAGAGTATGAACAGAGTAAGAAGTATTTCAGATGCTGATGTCCACAATGCTATGGACAATTATGAATGTAATCTCTATACTTTTTTGTATTTAGTGTGCATCTCCACCAAAACACAGTGCAGTGAAGAAGATCAGTGCAAAATTAACAAGCAGATCTACAACCTGATTCACCTTGATCCCAGAACTCGGGAAGGTTTCACCTTGCTGCATCTAGCTGTCAACTCAAATACTCCAGTTGATGATTTCCACACCAATGATGTCTGCAGCTTTCCAAATGCGCTTGTCACCAAGCTCCTGCTGGACTGTGGTGCTGAGGTAAACGCTGTGGACAATGAGGGGAACAGCGCCCTTCATATTATCGTTCAGTACAACAGGCCCATCAGTGATTTTTTGACCTTGCACTCTATCATCATTAGCCTAGTTGAAGCTGGCGCTCACACTGACATGACAAATAAACAGAATAAGACTCCGCTAGACAAAAGTACAACTGGGGTATCTGAAATACTACTTAAAACTCAAATGAAGATGAGTCTCAAGTGCCTGGCTGCCCGAGCAGTTCGGGCTAATGACATTAACTACCAAGACCAGATCCCCAGAACTCTTGAAGAGTTTGTTGGATTTCATTAAGTGACTGGATATGTAAAATCGTTTAATGTGGTGCTAAAAAGTAAAGAACTTTAATCACAGACAATAGAATTATGTGTTCATAAATTCTACTTTTCTTTCCACTACTCTTTCTCCCTACCTATCTTTAGTTCTGTATTTGGTTTTCTTGCCTCATATGGTAATTGATTTCAAATACACTTGAAACAAAGCCACATTGTTTAGGTGTAACTAATCTAAGGTGTTTGAATATTGGTCACTTAACTATTTTTCTTTTTAAGGAACAAATATAAAATATTTTGTTTATGTAACAAGGAACATTTATGATTTGAAGTTGATAATGTTTGAAAAAACTGCATACAAAAGTATTTCTGTTAAGCCTTTGTCAGCGTGTTATCCTTGTAGCAGTTTTGAGGATTTCATGAAGGAAAACAACTAAAGAAGAACATTAAAAGTAATGGGATACCCAGGTGTTCTGCACATGCCAAACTGCTGTAGGTAGTTTTCACTCTTCCATTATTTATGTGGACTGATACAACGCATTATAACACCAGGAGGATTTAAAAAAATATAGCTGCCGATTATTCTGAAAAATATGCTAATTTAACAATAGTTACAAATTTCTAAAGTTAAATCCAAATTGTTGCATTATGCTGCGTAGTATACAAAGTAGTAATCTTAAAGCAACTTTTCAAAGAATGTCAATGGACTATTTGCCTTTAGGCTTTGAAGTCTAAAATTCTTTGAAGTCTCTGTTTTAATACAGTTTATCTAAATTGCAGCAGTCTGCATTTGACTCAGCTCACAGACATGTCAAAATTATGAAGGATGTGTTTTCTTATGAAACAAATGGTCACATATTGTTACACATTTTATTTTTGTTCCTTTCTCCCGTTCCTCCTTGCGTACATATTGTTACACATTTTATTTTTGTTCCTTTCTCCCGTTCCTCCTTGCGTGGTATCTTAAAATTTGGAAATTACTTTTCCAGAGAGCATTATTTGTGCCTCCTTAATATGGTGTGTATGACAGATGAAAAGGAACCAGGATATTTTTAATTTTTTCACTTTCTTTACTTAGTCTTTGATAAGAAGTAGAAAAAATCAGTAGTGTGGTATAGGAAATGTTTTTGATGATGAAAATAATTTGCAATGCCACTTTGAAAGGTATTTCTGTCTGAGAGTTGCAAACTTTTCAGTCACAAAAATGTCACTTATTCTGACAGGACAGAGGTATTTTTATTTTTATTTTGTTTTAATGGCAACATTTTAAGTGTCAGACCAAAAGAGTATTCTGTGATTATCTATTAAGCATCACAGAAATTCAAGTAAAGGGTACACACCTATTTTTATTAATGTTAAAAATGATAAAGTAAAATTAGCTATATCTGTATTTTTCTCTCTAGTGCCAAATGAATGCCTTAGCTACTCATAGTGCATGATACTGTAAGATCTACAGCTGTTTTTCCCTTTAATGAAAAGCATTATAATGGTGTAGCAACATCAGTTATAAACTTAAAAAAAACAAACTGTAAGGTTTCAGTTAACATTTTATCTACGGATATTGCTTTGTGAAGTATAAGAGAAAGGTTGCAGTTGGATCAGTATAAAACAACAATAAAGCCAAAATCAGCACCTACGGCCTTAAATAAAATAGAGATACCCGACAAAATGAAATACTTTGAAGGGAGGGGTTAGGAGGGGGAACTTTAAAAACTTTTTCCCCAAGAATGCAAGATACTTTTACAGCTACTGTAGTTACACTTCGTTTGTCTTCTTGCTTCAGTTAGGAATGTTTTAATAGTAAATTCTGTCATGGTAATATATTTCTGTTTTCCTAACCTGAGATTTTTACAAGGAAGGTTTTTAGGATGTTTAAAGGGAAGTATTTGAATGAGCCCTAATTTGAAAATTACTGGCTTGATCCTCCTGGTGTACTTCATGGACTTGAAAGAGAAAATGCATCCTCAAGGTGAGTGAATCACGTCTTTCCACAGCTCAGATCAGACCCTATATTTTTCAGACTCCAAGGCCTGCTTATTTGACAGTTTGAGGAATGGCTATGATACTTGGTATTCAGTTGGTTTCATTATTAATGTGTATGATTTTTAAACACCAAAACTTAAAATATCAGATAATGTTGCATGTTTTAAAAACCATTTCATCCCTTGGCTACCCAGGACCAGCACTATTTTAGATATTGCTTCTTTATAAAATGAGGATAATGATTATATGTACATATTTAGACATCAAAATTAATGACACAGCGTTTTTGAGAAGGGAGAACTGAATACTGGAGAAAGTAAAACTGCTGATTGAAATGCTGACAAAGTTGGAGAAAGAATTTGAAGACAGTGGAATAAACTATGAACTCTGCTAATGGTAACTGAGGTTTTTTTTTTTAACAATAGTATAGTAGTACATTGTGCACTATATTGCTAAGGATCTAATTCTGTCTTGTAAAATAAATACAAATATATATTGTGAAACACCTGTATAAAACCATTCTTAAAACAAGTAATCTACATGCCTGTTTTTTATTTGTTTTTGATAGAATTATTTTAAAATATGTTTAGCCAAACCCTTCCCAAGCTTATTTTTTTTTTTTAAAGGAAATAAAGAGGTAAGAAAGATGATAGTTCTGTGTCTCAGCTCTTTGAGAACTCAAGGCTGTCTCTGTTTTCTAGCCACTTTTGTCATTTTATGTTTCTTCTTGGTAGGATTAAGTTTTGGATTGTAAGTCTTCCTTGGTAACATTACAAATTCAATCAAAACTTCTTTGTCTTGCTCAATAATTGTCATATAAATTTGGTTGAACTAGAAGCCCAGGTGGATGAATGCCTGAGCAAACCATGTAAAACTGAGCTTGGTTTTGTGCCTTTAATAGAGTTGGTGACATTGAATTCTTGATTTTAGGTAACTAACTCAAGGAACAGGCAGCAAATCCGTTCCCTAAACTGATAAAGAAGGGGGACATTTTTGACATAAGAACTCTGACACAACATCGTTGTTTTTTAGTCTATCCTGGATTGCTCTAGTAGGTCCCGGTTCTTTGACCTGAAGGTTCTTTGCTGTGGGCACTTCAAACTGACAAACCAACCAAAAGGGAAGCCTTGGTCTTGCTCATTTCTGGGAAGGGTTTTATTTCGTGATACTAATTATTGATTAATAACTGGTAATTATGAGAAACTTAGGTGTGATAGCACTATGTGAAAGAAAATGTGATTTTGGGGCAGCTGCTCCCTGAGTATCTATCTAACTCTGCATTTGGCAAGTGTTTTTGAAAATTAAGATCCCAAGGGAACAACACTCTGTCACCAGTCTCCACCACAGTCCAGGCAGCTCCTTTATGAATAAGACCGTTTTGGATTATTCAAGCAGAAGCATTTCTTTCTTTCTTTTTTTTTTTGGAATGGGCAGGGTGAGGAGTGAGTTGCTGGACCTTGGATTACAGTTTGCTGGTTTTAGAAACCGTTGGTGATTGAACTAGTGAGTAGATGGATAAAAGTATAAAGGACTTGTTTTTATGGTAGATTTTCTGTAAAAATCTTAAATGTTTCTTTGCAGGCTAGCCAGATGTATCCATGTACAGATGACTATTCTGTTTTTCTCACTGACTATACTATAACATTAAAATGGTTTAAAGAAATCTAAACACTGCCTTTTGCTCTATGAAAAGTTGCTAGTTCATAAGATTTTAAGCTGTGTGTTCATTCCTGTTGTGAAAATGCACAGCTCTGCTCTGGGTATCTTCTGGAAAGTAAAAAGTTCCTAATTATGTATGGCACATGGTGGGGCTTTCTCATACATTTCTGGTAGACTTGCCCAAGTCTTCAGATGGGCTGAGTTGTATAGCATCGCCTCCCCCAAATAATGGGATCTGAAATAAATATTACATTGATAGTGGTGATAGATATATTAATTTTTAAAACTATAAAGTAAATGTGGTCTCTAGTCCTAGGTTCGTGGTGTGTTCATTTGTGTTAATGTGTAGGGAAGGGACATTGACTTGATGGTTATGGGGAGTATATCTTGATGTGTCTGCAGGGGTGAGTATTGCTAAATTATTAACAGCTTTTCATTTAGGGGTGAGTCACGTGATGAATGGCCTAATCAGAAAAATGAAGGAGTGAAGATGCAAGCTTTGCCAAGTGATGAAGTGAACAAGGTTTTGTATCTGTTTTTTATCAGGTGTAAAATTTATGCATGGCTTTTTTTGTTGTTGCTTAGTAATTGGTAGAGGAGAAAACATGAGGGAAAAAAACCTCAGCTTTGCTAACCAATCTTTTCAGAGGTACATAGTTGGGGAGTAAAATCTGACTGGCCTAACGTGTTGAAAGATCCTATCCTTTATAATATTCACCCCATCCTGCAATCCTCCATGTAGAGGAACTAAATGGTTGTATTCTAGTAATTCACTGTGATTTATAACAAACCAGTGATGTCATTCTATTGTGCACTTTTGTCAAACCATTTACATGACTTTAATAAACTTAGTAAACTTGCTGACTGCACCAGAGGTCTATTACTGATTTATATATTGCATGACATTTTCTATTTGAGTTTGACATGTGGAATTCTTTTTAATTTCGTGACAATTGACAGTCCTAATAGCCCAGCTAACTTGAAACTAACAGTATTGCTGTGTAAAAGGAAAAAATGGTGTTTGTGTTCAGTAAATGTTTGGAAAAAAAACCCAAAAAACTCCCTTGAAGTTTGTGTCTTTATTGTTCATTGTGCCTTAGTTGAGATGATCTTTTGTTGAATTTATTTGAAAAAAAAAATTGTCAAAGTTATACATGTGCATGGGGAAAAAATTCAGATAGTGAAGAAAAATTCAAATAGTTAATAAAAAAGGAAATTTCCTTCCCACCACTCTGCTTTCCATGTGGACTCTTCTGAGAGCAGTCACCATTACTAGTGTTTTTGAGTAGCTTCCCAGAATTTTTCTGTGCATATGTGTATTCTCCTTACTATATTTTTAAATATACATATGGACTTACCTTTCCTTCACTATTATGGATCTTGTCTTTCATTTAATATATGTTCAACTTTTTTTTTCATTTTGGTATATATAAATTAAAAAAAAACAACAACTTCATAGCAATTCTATGGGTAGACCTCAAATTTATTTAACCAGACCTTATTGTTGAACTTTTAGGTTTTCAGTTTATTGATATTCTAAATAATGAATGCTTCAGTGAACATCGTAATATACTATATTCATAGAACAAATTCATTCCTAGCACTGGAACTTCTGGTTTAGTGACTTTAAAATCTTGATAGAGGTTATCAAATTGCCTTCCACCACCCTATACCCTTATTGCCATCAGATACTACCTAATAATTTAGTTTTTGCCAAGGTGATTGGTGAAAGATAGTATTTCATGGTTTTTATTTGTGTCCATTTATTATGAATGACATTGACACTTTCATATATTTACTGATCTTTGTATTTCTTTTTTTTTTTTAAGATTTTTTTTTTATTGGGGAATTGGGGGGATGGGAACAGTGCTGGGGAATTGGGGGAAGGGGAACAGACAAGTTGCTGTCGTTTTTTTTTTTGTTCTTCAATCTAGTTGTGGAGGATGTTGCTTCACTGGCCCAAGTTGGCACCATCATTGCGCTCTTCTCTGGCGAGGCAGATCAGTCGCCGGCTTCTGGACGGCCGCTCACTGCGGCTGCTGGCCGCTCACTGCGGCTGCTGGCCGCTCACGCTGGCTGCTGGCTACACACGGTAGCTGCTGGCTACACACGGTAGCCCATGGCAACCCACTGCCACAGGGACTGCAGCCTACGCCGTCGCCGGCGACTCATGGCAGCCCAGCTCCAGGTTGAGCTGTTGTTCAGCATCTTAGCTGTGGAGGGCAGTGTCACTGGCCCTCATATGTGGGATCCGAACCGGGGCCCTCTGGCATCCCAAGCGAGTTCTTAACCATCGCGCCACTCGGCCGGCCCCTGATCTTTGTATTTCTTTTGTTTGCTTTTGGGTTGTGGTCTTTTTCTTCTTAGAAATTCTTTGGAAGTTTAAGGAAATTTTCTTTGTCTTGTAGTTTTTTTTTTTTTTACTCTAAACATAGTATTTATAACAGAAATTTACATTTTTATGTAGCCAAATTTCTTTTTTTTTTTTAAGCTTATAAGAGTTTATTTGAGCCAAACTGACGACAGTTGCTAGGAAGCAAAATCTCAATGGATTGAGAAAGTGCTCCCCAAATTTATCTTTTTTAAATGGATTCTGAGTTTTGTATCTTGCATGTTGTAAGGTTATCTCCATTCCAAGATCATAAATCTTTTTTTCCCATGTTTTCTTCTAGCCCTTTTATGGCTTCTTCCCACTTCTGTCCTCCTCCACCCCTTCCCCGTCCCCTCCTCCCCCCTCCTCTTTCTCTTCTTCCTCAGGTGATTCACAAAGCTCGTTGGCAGGCTTAGACAAAATTGTATTTTCTAATTTGCCTGTGTTTTATAGATTTGATGTGCTTAGTCCATCCTAAGAGCAGGACTGAGGTTTGCTCCTGCCTCAACCAGTGGGAACAAACTGTTGGAAATTAGCGCTTATTAATTACCATGTGTCAGGCACTATACCAGGGATGTGCATAGCGAAATACAAAAGATGATCCCTGCCCTTGATAAGCTTGTTGTCCAGTCACTATTTGAAATCTGACTCTATATATCCTCAAATTTTAGTTTCCCAAATAAAATTTTATGATGTTACTTTTTTTTTTTTAAGATTTATTTTTAACTGGGGAATTGGAGGAGGGGAACAGCGTTGTGGAATTGGAGGAGGGGAACAGACAAGTTGCTGTCCTTTTGTTCTTCAGTCTAATTGTGGAGGAGGTATTATTGCGCTCTTGTCGGGTGAGGCAGATCAGTCAGTCACTGGCCATTGGACAGCCACTCATGACAGTTCAAGGCAGCTCACGAAAGCGCATGCCAGCTGCCGGCCAGCCCCACTGCAGCCTACACCATCGCCGGTGACTCACGGCAGCCCAGCACCAGGTCGAGCTGTTGTTCACCATCTTAGCTGTAGAGGGTGCGGTGTCACTGGTCCTCATGTGGGATCTGAACCAGGGCCCTGCTGCTCAGAGTTGGCGTCCCAAGCCAACTCTTAACCAATGTGCCACTCGGGCGGCCCTCTTTCTTTCTTTTCTTTTTTTTTTTTTTAATGTAGTATCAGGGAGAACAAAGAACATGCAAGACTGATAAGAAAAGATGAGTCCATTAAGGAATGGTACCCCATCCTTCAAAAAAAATATTTTTCTGCTCATACCCTACTGCAAGCCCCATGAGTTGCTAGGTACATTTTAGACTATATCTTATTGAAAAGTCCCAGAGCCCAGGAGCCAGTCTTCTAACTCTTCACACTAAACCAGCAAAGCTCCTGTGTGCTGTTTCAGTTTCTGTTTTGGAGCATGTTGTCCTACTTAGTGTGATGTCAAAGCTGATGGAATAGACAGTGACACAGAAGCACTCTGCAGATTTTAATGTGATCGACTGAACTTGACTGCCCCCGGAGAAGAGTCTAGTTGATGTTAATACTAATATAAGGATAATTTGGGGATTAAAAAAAAAAAAAGATTTTATTGGGAAATTGGGGAAGGGGAACAGCCAAGTTGTTGTCCTTCAATCTTAGTTGTGGAAGGCGCAGCTGGCTCAGCTCTAAGTCCAGTCTCCATCTGGCCGCCTGTATGCAGCTTGCGGCCGCTCAGCTCAAGATGCCGTGTTCAGTCTTAGTTGTGGGTGGGCATAGCCCATCCTCCCATGGCAGAGTCACACCGGCAGCCTTCTTAGGAGCACGTGCTCTCACCAGCTGAGCCATCCTGCCAACTATTGGCAGCTCAGTGGCAGCTCAGCTCTGCACAGTTCACTGGCCCATGTAGGAATCGAACTGGCGACCCTGTTGCTCAGAGCTTGCGCTCTTAACCAACTGAGCCACTCGGTTGGCCCCAATTTGGGGATTTTTAAAAAATAGTAAGTAGTTCAAAATAAAGGGCTGACATGACATTATCAGAAGGTAAAAACAAAGGCCAGTGTATTGTTGAATGAAAATAGGATCTTTCACTACTAATGGCCGTATTAATAAGTCAAGTCATCGAAGGCACATCTCGTAGTGGAAAGACCTGGCCACTTCTTGTTTAGGGTGTGGTGTGGTTGCAGTGAGTCATTAATGCCAGAAAAGGGGCATGCGTAAGTCAGCTATTTCTGTTACAGGTTGTTTGGCATCTTGGGGCTTGGAGCCAGAGGGACTGACACAAGTCTAGTGTCTTATTCTGGGAAAGTATTGACACTAAAAGCTCATGAGTACTGATGAAGTAGCAACGTGTCTCTTAAAGACCTCTAGGAAAGGCGAGTTCCACTTTGTCTCCCAGAAGCTCTTCCACATGTCCCCTGGCAGAGTTATCCCCCTCTGTTGTGTTCAAGTCAACACTTTGCCCTTTCCACCTGATACCTATCCTGCTAAGAAATACCACCTTCCATAACAAAAAGAAAACCTAGAAACTCCACTGTTTGCACAGGAAGGACATTCCTTGGGGTTTTTTGCTGGGGATTTTTCTGTAGCTGCCACCAAGATAGGCCCAAGGGCAGCTGAGAAGGGCTGCACTGATTAAGAAACGGACCTTGAAGTTTAGAGAAGAACAGAATGTTATGGCTCTAGATTGCTGGTTCTCTAAATTTAATGTGTGTGAAATTACCTCATAGAAATCGAACCTGGGAGGTCTAGGTGGAACTTAGTCTGGGGCTCTAGGTGGCTCTGGGACCCCACTTTGAGAAGCTCTGCTTTGGATACATAACGTACTTTAAGAGGCACAATTTGCCCTACGGGCTTGCATACCCACACTATTTAACGCCAAAGAGAAGTAGCACTCTTGCCTGGGTTTCTCCTTTCCAGCTCTCAGCTGGCTGGAATTGACCAACACCGTAATTGATGTCCATTTGCCTGCAGAACACTGGATATAGCAGGACTTGAGGCCTCTTGAACCTACCCAAGGTCTGCCCCTCAGCTTCGTTATCTTCTCGGAGGGCCTGCCCGATCCCACATGGGGTCTCACCATGTCAGAATCAACTGTGAAGCCACCCAGAGCATCTCGCACATCTCATTTCATAACTGCATGTTGGAGGTCTTTCTCCTCTACTGGACCGTGCGCCTAGGACTCAAGAAACCCCCACAATCTGTGCACCAAATTCTAAAACTACCATCTGTTGGTAATTTGGTTTACAAGAGTCAGACCTTGCCCCCGGCATGCTTTTCTCGTGTGTACTTTTTTGCTGCAGACTTGCTTAAGTGTCACGTGGCCACCTGGAAGTCTAAGCTTGTTGAGAGTAGTGTCTAGGATGGGCCAGTAATGCTTTTAAAAGACTGAGCCATTTTTAAGTTGGTTACACTTCATGTTAACACTTTGATTTCAGCCCTTAGCTCCATCATAAATAATTATTCTTAACTACCAGATACAACATTGCTAGTAACATCCATCTGTGAACCACAATATGAACTTTAATGTTGATTTGAGGTTGCATTTTGGGGTGCTTGCCACTGAATGCCAAAATTGCTTCAGAGACTGCAGTTCATCTCCTCTTCCAGACAATAGCAAAAATCTGCAGCAAATCCCACTCTGGAGACTGCTGGAATGAGAAAGTCTTCCAAACTCCAGGCTGGAGCTGAGTTAATTTCAACATCATGGTGATGAGAGCAGTTCCCATTACTCATCATAGGTCACTGGTGCCTGTTAACCCCTTGTTTGTTTTCTAGCTTAGATGTTCACCTACCTATTGACTTCAACTCTCACCACCAGGGGAACTTTGAAACAAAACGATGCCTTGCCCCTCTCCTAACCAATTAAATCTGTATCCCTGCAGTGGGCCCTTGCATAGATAGCTTTTAAAGCTCCCAGGTGATTCTAATATGTAGCCAGGCCTGAGAAACTGCTTAGCCATGAGGCTTTGCTCCCTATAAAATGCATCTTCTCTGCTTGCCTTACTGGCCATCTTAAGGCCAGTCTTGGATGTTTATATGCCAGAGCAAATAATTTGGAAAGGGAGACTTGATAAAGAGAAACGAGTAACACAGTGTAAGGGCTTGAAGATAACGGCTGCATCTGACCTGCAGACATTTTTTTTTTTTTTTGGCCTGAAGTGTGGTTACACATGGAAATTTTTAAAACTGTGAATGCCAATCTCTAAAAGTCAGGTTTCCATAGAAAACTGTCTCAGACTTGATGGTTTTTGATAGAAGACTTGGTGCTAAATCAAACAAAGCACTTTCGAGTGTGGGTTCATCAATTCTCCAGCCAGGTTACTCCATTCATGGGGGTAATGATGCGGATGAAATATGATTGTAAAACGTTTCCTTCTGACTTTGGTTTCACGATTTGAGAAAAAAATATTCCCATAAAGAGTTCTTTTATATCGACTCCTTCTTCACTAAGCCCTTTGAGGCTGGGCTAGAATGACAGCAGGGTGTAAGAGCTGCCCTGGGATGTGTCTTGATTTTGACCGGGGACCTCGGACTACCTCTTAACTTCTCTGGCTCTAGGGATTGCATCATTAGTCGGGGAACAAAATCAAATAACTTCTAAGGTTCTACTTTGGCCTCTTGGGATTACAATGGCACAAGAATAGAATGGGACAACTTGGTCTAAAAACAGCCTATGTGTAAGGTGAAGAAACTTGAAGTCAGCGTATAAGGTCAGCACTGAAATGCTAGCTTGGAGGAGTGTGGGAGGCCTGACGGAAGAACTGGAACCAAGAGGCAGAAGCTACAGTGACTTGTGGGTTTCACCATCCAAACTAGCCAAAGACGGAACGGGTGGTCTTGGGAGGGGGGAGTGCGCCATCGCTGGAGATGTTGATCCCAGACCAGGCAGCCACTTGGAGGGGATGTTCTGGGAGCAAATGGTGGACCAGTCCTTTCCCAATACTTAGATAATGGGAAGGAAGCTGGGAGTCCCTCATCCATCTCCTCTCCTTCAAAGAAAAGAGTGGGGGGCTAGGACCTTCTCTGCCCACAGAAAGGGAAGTCAGTGCCTTGGTTATTTTTAAACACTTTTTTTTTTAATTTCTTAAAAATATTTACGACAGTAAAGGTCGCACTATGTAACGGGGGACAGATGCCTTTGATGTATCCCCCTTTCATTTCTACCTCAAAACAAGGTTAAGGCATAAATTACTCCATTGGGCACCAGGTGTGCCTCTTGTCCTCCGGGCGCCCTCACTGGTGGTACCACTTGTCCCATGCATGGTCCTGCGGATCAGATAATTGCCACCGAGATTGCACAGGCCTTGTTCAGTGCATTCCAGACAGGACCGGTGGGCAGCACCAGCCGAGCCAGCCGGGTTTTCTCCGGGGCACGGGTGGACAGAAGGGAGGGATGGGAGGTGGTGTGTGTGTAGGGAGGGGATGACATGGGGAGGGAGGGCTCCTCACTCCTACCCTTACTGCCCAGCTTGCAGCCGGGCCGCGCGACGGGGCAGGCTTCAAGGGAAGACGCAGTAGAAATACAGGGCCCTAGGGATTGCGTCATCCACACGCTTCCGGATGTACCTGGAAACAAAAGCGTCGGGGAGGGGCGGCAGCTGAGGCGGGGAGAGGGGGGGAAGGGTGGAGGGGGCGGGTGTCTGGAGCACGGTGGGTGAGTGTGGGTGGCTGGCTGTCAGTGTAAACCCACCAGGGTGACTCCCCATCTCGGGGCGGGGGGCGCCCCGTATCCTGGGTCGCAGCTGCCTGTCTGTCACAGTCTCCACATCCCAGAGCCTTCATCCCTGGCCAGCAGCTGTCACCATTAAGCCCTTGGGCTCCGGTTATTCAGAGGGAGCTCTGGGGACCTATCTCCTGCCTGGAGGAGGGGTGGGTGTGACTCGGGAGAGGCAGCATGGGGGGAGGGGAGGACAGCCAGAGTTCAGATCTTCTGGCCCACTGGGTCCTACTGGAACTGGAGGCCTGGAATGTACGGAGTGGGTCGGCATTTGCAGTCTTCCTCTGGGTTTCTTCTGAGGATGGGGATGGTTAGGACTTCCTAGCACCTTAGTGGTGGGGGCAGCAAATGCCCCCACAGAGCCTGGGGGAGGCTTTGGGGTGTGCCTTGGGAGGGGCCCCTTTAAATCTCTAAGGATCTGTGTTGTGGATGCCTTGGTCTCCCAGTAGGGCAGTCCCTCTTAAAACTGGCTTGAGTTCTCTTCAGAGGGAGCAGGCTCCGTTTCTCAGATGAGGTCGTGCAAAGCTAGGAGCTGGCGTCATCTCTGCTTCAGCTCCGTGGGGCCCCGAGCCGGGGCCTGCACACCACCTGGGCCTGGCCCCCATCAACTCACAGCCTCTTCAGCAGCCTCACTCCAGCGCTTTGGGAGTGGGGTCCAGACCGGGCTCCCTCCTGCGCTTGGCACTTTTAAAGAAGCCGAGCTGTGGGGAGGCAAAGGCAGAAGTCTCAGGAATGGGCTGAGTGAACAAGGCCTAACTCCCCTTCCTGCTCTCCCTCCACTACCCCTCAGTCAGGCTTCTTCCCTCAGCCGGCTTCCTGAATACCCCAGCTCACAATGAGTACCCCTCCCCCCATTCCCTTGTGGGCCTCACAGTGGGCCACTTAACTGGTGGGGGGGTTGCTGGAACAGAGTGAATGGAGCCTGGGTCAGGAGGCAAGAAGTCCTACTGTGTGACTCGGCCCAGTCCACACTCCTCTCTGGGCCTCCCTTACCTCATCTATATCAGGAGGAGGTTGAGACCAGGGCTTCTTAACCTGAGGCTCAGAGACAGCGAAGGGCTTTGGAGGGCTTTTGTTAAAAGCCTGACTTCGTTGGAGCCATTTTGTGGTTGTGTGTACTTGCTTTTTTTTCTGATGAGAGGAACCCTAGCTTTCATCAGGTTCTCAAAAGGACCTATACAAGGGACGGAGCCATAGGCTGATGCCCTCTGGTGGCCTATCAGCCTGCGGTGGTGAGGGCTGGATGCTGTATCTGTAGGCAAGTTCTGGGGAGGAGGCTGGGAGGAGGAGAAGGTGGGGACTGGCCACAGAACGCAGTGGCCGGAGCCTCAGGCATGGGCTAACCAGCCAGGATGCTGCTTCCCACCCCCACCCAATGGGGGCCCTCACCTTCCACAGTGCCAGGACCAGCAGGGCCAGCAGTAGGAGGCCCCCCAGTGTGCTGCCCACAATGATCCAGATGGGGATCTGCGAGTCTTCTTGCTTGGAGATCTCAAACGTGATCTGCAAAGGGAGGGAGGTGGCCAGGTCAGTAGCATTACTATTCTGGGGCCGGGGTGGCAACCTGGGGCAGGGCCAGGGCACAGGAGACAGCTGGCACCTGGGGGGAGGGCTGCATCCTCTTTCTCAGGGAGATGCTGGAGGGATGGGTGGCACCCAGCCTGCAGAGTCCCCAGAGCTCCCTGCTCCTGTACAGTGGACAGTTAAGTGACCCAGGTCATCCCACTTCCTCTTTGAGACATTTTTCTGCCTTTGCTGCTTCCTCATCATCTCCCAAATTTCTAAATGTGGGTGTGTCCCATGGTTTTGCCTTTGGACCTCTTCTTTATCTACAGTCACTTCTTGGTGAGCTCAGGGCCGACTTACACAGTGGGCACAAGTGGGCACAGTGCCCAGGGCCCGCAGCACTTTTAGGGACCCATGAATGGGATCTAACTTCTTTTAGAATTAGAAGAAAAAAAATGAATATAATCTTGCCCGGATTATATTTGTGTTTATACGGACACAATCATACACTAGTAATTAAAAAAATATTTTTATGGAGGACGGGCCCCCCCACCCCCGAAGGCAAAAGTGCCCAGGGTCGTGAAAGTCCTAACGCAGCCATGGTCTAAGTCACTCATCAGGGCTTTAACTGTCTATACTCTGATCACTCTGACGTTTCTACCTTCTACCTGAACTCTCTGCTGACCTCCAGGCTCATATCCGACTATCTACTTGGCCTGCCTAGCATCTTTAACAGGTCTCTACACAAACTTTTGATCTCACTCCTCACCCTCAAAACTGTTCCTTCAACTCCTTTCCCGTCAAAGCACACGGCAGCATAGTCCTTCCTTTCTGTTCAGGCCACCTCCCTTGTATTTGTCACACCCACATGAACTCCATCAGCAGTCTGCCCGTTTTACCTTTGAAACACACAGAATATGGCCACTCCTCCCACTTCCAGGGCTACCTGCTGGGTCTGAGCACCCTCATGTCCCACGTGGAGACTGCAATAGCCACCTTAACTGCCTCTCTGCTTCTGCCTCGACCCCTACAGTCTGTTCTCGGCATAGCAGCCAGAAGAAGGCGGAGCTACGCTCTGTTCAGAGCCATCAAGTCTTCCTATATCACTCCGAGTAAAAATTAAAGTCCTTGCACTGGCCTGCAAGGCCCTGCACTCTCGGGCCCCGCTTACCCCACTGATCATATTCCCCACTCTCCCTCCTGCTCTCTACTCCAGCTCTCCAGCCACCTGGCCTCCAACATGCATGCCAAGCACAGACCTACTGTAGGTCCTTTGCATTGCTGTTTCCTCTGCTGGCAGGCTCATAGTCCCTGTCTGATGTCACTTTATTGGAGAGAATTTTCCCAATTTCCCTGTACAGAATAGCACCTCCTGAGTCTCCACCCTTACGTGCCTGTGTCTTTTGTGGTAGACCTTATCCCCACTTGACCTTGTATATGTATGTTTATGTTAATTGCCTTTCTTCCTCCTGGAATGTCAGCTCCAGGAGAGCAGGGGCTTTATCTGTTTTGTTCACTGCTCTATCCTCAGTGCCTGGAACAGCGTCTGGGACAGTGTAGGAGCTCAGTCAACATGTTGACAGACTGACGGACTGAACCCCTGCAACAGCATGGTAGAGTGTTGGCTTGGCCACTGAGTCACTATTCAACTTGAGACAAGTCACTGCTCTCCTTCTGCCTTATCTCACACAGCCTCAGGTTCCACATCTGAAAAATGGGGTGGTAAATCATACCTCACAGATAACGCATGAAGTGTCTGTTACAGTGCCTGGTGCATGGTTAGGGCTCAACAAATAGCCCTAAAAGCCTTCCCACCCCCAGCACCTACCTCAGAGTGGAGCCAACAGGGGCTTACATTTTGGGTTGCTGGGTTTCAGGAAGAGAAGTAAGGCATCCAGAAAGCATAAGAGAGATTTTTTTTGGGGGGGTGGGGATGGGGTGGGAGTAGAAGGAGAAGAAGTCACTTAAAAGATGAACTAGTGTGGAAGGGAGGTTGTTTGTGTGTGTGGGGTGCCTGTAACATGCCTCTTCTCGCTTGGTCACCTGGAAAATTCTAACATCTCTCTCAAGATTCAGTTCAAGTGGACTGTCTCCAGAAAGTGTGAGCACCTCTCACCCCCAGCACCTATGCTCACCCCCAGATCGCATCCACTTTGTTGTCCTTATCACTTTGTCTGCTTAAGTCATCTCTGTATCCCCTGAGGGCCCGAGTCATGGGAGGGACACCCAACAAATGCTGAATGAACGAATAAACAAATAAAACCGCTCCTTGGGTGGGTCCCCTGCGTGCTGCCTCTGGACTTTTGCACCCGCCAGCCATCTGCTTGGCACGCCCCCCCTCCCATCTGTGATGGGTATTTGTGTGTTTTGTTCATGCCTGGCTTCCAGCCCATGCCTGTTTTGCTCTCCAGAGTCTCTTGGGATGGGGCTGGGGGCTTATTTGGCATCTGGTACGGAGCTCTCACCTGAAGCCCAGGCTGGCAGTTTCAGGACATGGCCAGTGGAGGGCAGCAGTGTCCCACGCCCAAGATGCCCATTTCTGCAGAGGACTGGGCTTTTCTTCAGGACCTAACTTCTCCTTTCCCCAGGAGAGCACAGCACAGCCCCGCCGCTTTCCTAGACCCTGGTTCAAGCCAACCTGATCTACAACAGTCTGGTTTCACCCAATTTAAAAAGTTTCATGCCAAGACATATTGCATCCCTTCGCCTTCACCAATTCAGTTCACACTGGACTTGTAAAGCACAGCTCATGTGCATTTCATTAGATTTGAGGTGCGAATGGATGGGGAGGACAGGAGTGGGATTGTCATTCCAGGCTGGCAACCTGCCCAAGACACAGCCTCATTGCTGCTGGAGCCAGTCAATGAGCCACCCCAAGGCAGGTAGGCCTGGGCTCCAGTTCCAGTTTGCTCTAGTGTAAAATATGCAGGTTCCCTTCTTCTCTCCGCCCCAATGGGACTATTGTGGAGCAGAGTCCGGTGCCCCCAACGCACTAGGAGAATGCCTACTTCTGGCCCCCTTTTCACTTTTGCCCCCAAAGGCCCATTTGTATTGCTTTTTTTCTCTCCTCTGATGCCACATTAACTTTTGGCAGGTCTGTCCATCTCTCTGCTTGAAGAACATGGCAGAGGGTGTAGGAAAACTGTAAGAGAAGTGGCAACTTCCTCCCAAGCTGGCCTGGCTCAAGCCCAGGTCTGCAGGGTTTCCAGGGGACTCACCTGGCGGCTGGGATCCTCCTCTCGGAAGATGAAAGGACTGTGGAACTGCCTCTGCAAGGCTGCGTTGACCGTGATTTTCATCAGCTTGTACTTGAGCTGCATAATCAGAGGCCTTGTCAGAAGCTGGCCCCTCCCTCGGTGGGAGACTCCCCAGCACCTGCCTCCTACCAGCCTAGCCCAGCTGCTCTACTTACTGCTTTTAGAGACCGCAACCACAGGTTTCCCAGCAGATGGAAATTGATTTCCTGGTTGGGGGCCAGCCTCACGTTGCAGTTGATGGAGACTACATCAGAGTTGCTGTGATTCTGAAAGAGAAGGTGGGTCTCAGGGGTGAGCGACCAGGCTCTGGGGAGCAGGGGAGGCAGAAGCCTAGCTATGACCTGAGAGTGTGAGCAGGGGCTTGGGCCACCAGAGACATGGCTCAGCTGCACTGCTTAACCATGGGGGGTTTTGCTTTTGGTGGGGGAAGGGACCCAGGACAGGGAACAAGGAGAGAGGAGGCGAACTCATGGGCTGGGGCTGCTGCGGGATGGCTGGAGGACAAGGTAAAGATGGTATATGCCATGTTCCATTTGAAGTTGTGCATAATTGGGTGTTTTCCAGGAACAGAACTTTGGTTCAACCTTAGGGAACCTATAAATGTTACCACCGTACAAACAGATCAAAGGAAAAAAAATTACATGATTATTGCAACAGATGCAGAAAAAGCATTTTAGGAAATCCAGTTTCTGTTTATGATAACTTCTGGGGAACTTCCTGAATCTGAATAAATGGTATTTACAAAAAACAAAAACAAAAACAAAAACAAAAACACCTATGGCAAGTATTATATTTAATAATGAAAAATTGAAAATAATTTCTTTAAATTCAGGATCAAGACAAGGCTGTCACCATTTCTCTTTACCATCACCCTGGAGGTCCTAGCCAGAGCAGTAAGACGAGAAAAACAATTTATAAGGATTGAACAGAAAGTTAAAATTATTATTATTTGCAGATGATATCATCTTAATAGAAAACCCAAACAAATCATCAGACTGATAATTAGAAAGTATTAGATTAAAGTTATTTGTGTCACTCTCTTGCAGCCACCTCGACCCTGCCCAAGCCCAAGTCTTCAGCAAATTGTGCCACACTCAAAAAATGCTTAGTGTGAGGCACTTGTTTGGGGAAATCAAACTAAACCAGCTAAGATTTTTGTCTGGGTAAGGAATAGTGAGTGAAAGCATGCACAGAAATTGGTTTCTGGAGACAGGGACAGCCCGGAGAACATAAACCTGGAATCTAGCAGGTATCTTGGGGAGGGCTTTGGGAGGCTGAAGCTGAGATGCCTTTCATTTCTGAGGCAGGGAGGCCCCAGCCGATGTGGTCGAAATCTCCGATACAAGCTGTGTATGTCCTGGCCTTCTTAGCGGTATCCCACCTGGCTCGCTCTCCTTCCCTCTGCTTATCCGTATCCTATGGCCCTTTTAGGCTCAGGTGCATCATCCTTGGTTTTTTTTTTTTTGGACCTTTTTACCCCCTTCACCCATTCTCCCACCCCATCCCCTGCTTCTGGCTACCACCAATCTGTTCTTCGTATTTGTAAGCATTTTTGTTTTTTAAAGATTCCACATATAAAAAGATCATACGGTATTTATCTTTTTCTGTCTGAATTATTTCACTCAATAATGCCCTTAGGGTCCATCCATATTGTTGCAAATGGCAAGATTTCCTTTTTTATGCCTGAATAATATTCTGTTGCCTATGTATACCACAATTTCTTTATCCATGGATGGACACAAGTTGTTTCCATGTCTTGGCTATTGTAAATAATGCTGCAACGAATATAGGGGTGCAGATAATCTTTTCAAGCTAGTGTTTTTGTCTTCTCTCCCCGTTCTTTCACTTGAGTTTGTCTGCGCCTGCTGTCACTCTCCTGACACGTATCACAGGCCTGTTCCCTGGCTTCTTAGGCACTCACTCTTGCGTCTCCTGAAGAATGGTGCGCTCACTAAGGGCAAGAAATACCTTTTCCTTATTCTGTTTCCTCCTGGTTTGAGGCCGGGCACATATATAGGTTTCCTCAACGAGTTCTTACTGACAAACCACGGGATAAGGAGAATGAGCCCTCAGAGCCCAAGCAGCACTCCTCTCCCCTTGTTGTCCCCCCTGGTTCTTGGTTTGGGGGATGCTCACCAGCTGTGGGGCTCGATTCAAGTCTTCCTCCATTGGGGCATGCCGGTACTCGGTGCTGTTTCCCCACACATTACAGGTCGTGTTCGCCTGCACAGGGGACACATACAACCAGCCTCACAATCAGCGCCCACAGACCCAGCATCCAGGGGTGTTCCTTCCGCCTCCCCTTCCAGAGAAAGCCCAGCTGGGCCTGGGCCTGGGAGAAGGAGCTGGGGTCTGAGGACTTGGGACCCACCTAGGGTATGTCTGTCTCTTCCATCCCCTCCCCTCAGCTGGCTCCCAAGAGCAGAGGTACCTGGTCGGTGAGGAAGTCCCTCAGCATCAGCAGGCGGTTGCCGCCCCTGGTGGCGATGGGCACAGTGATCTTCATTATGACCCCGTGCACAGGGAACAAGCCCAAGTTTTGGATCTGTGGCCGAGAGGGGGAGGTGTCAGCGCACCAGCAGCCGTTGGAGGGGGAAAGGAGAACAAGGTCTAAAGGGGCCAATCAGCCCCTGTGGGCAGCCCCCCAGCCAGGCCTGGGAAAGGGGCTCCTACAAGCCCCCCCTGGCATTTTCACGCTGGAAACTTGAAGGCCCTGCCAAATCACCCCCAGGAACTGCAGGGATCCTTAAAGGGGTGGGCTCCTGCAGGCTGAGGACAAATCAGTGAGGGGGCCATGAGGCTGGAGAGCCAGGGTCACTTCCGTTTTCAACTCCTCTTGGTTCTGGGGGATTTTGTTGCCTGGCGCTGACACCTCCCCCTCTCGGCCACAGATCCAATTTCTCTTCACCCACCTTCTTTAGTGACAGAAACCAAGACAAAAAAACTGCATTGTCTAGGCTCCCTTACAGCTAAATTACAACGTTCTGAACAGTGAGAGGTAACTGGATGTGTGAGGAGCTGCCAAGGAGTTAATTCCTTAGCAGGGAGGGCATGCTCTTTGCAGGGAGGGCATGCTCTTTGCCCTTCCTTCTTCCTGCTGCCTGGAATGAGAATGTGATGGCTGGAGCTGCAGCCACCTTGGACTGTGAGGTGAACTCGAGGTTGATAACTGCATGTTGAAGATGGTGGAAGAGAAAGATAGGAGACTCAATCCTGGATGACTTTGTGAAGCTGCCAACTCTGGACTTCTTTTATGGGAAAGAACCTCAGTGCATTTAGACCCTGTTTTTTCATTTTTAAGTATTTAAAAAAAAAACTTAAAAAATTATATGCAGCCACACCTAATCTTCATTGATACATCCTCCCAGTCTCGCACTGTTATTTTCCAGATGAGGACTTGAGAGGCCCAGAGAGGGGAAGTGACTTGCCTAAAGTCATCCAGTAAGTGGGTGGTAGGGTTAAGGTGACCCTAACACTAGCAATGATTCCAGATTCAAACAGGGGATCTTCAGTTCATGTCCTTCACTCTTTGCTTGGCTCCCCTCCAGGCTTACCTTGAAAATGCAGTTGAAGGGAGGCCCAATGCCATCATATCTCTCCAGTGAGCTATTGGGCTTGACCTCATAGTGGCTCAGGCTGCTGCTCCTGCAGGGACAGAGGACAGGGCCGCCGTGAGCTCAGTCAGTGTAGGCTAGATGGATAAATGAATGAAAGAGGGTGTGGGCATGGGCCTGCCTCCTCCTTGACCACAAAAAATAGGTTTCCTCTTGTGTGCATTGGGAGCATTGTGTTGAGAAGGATTCTGAAGCTCAGCAGGAATAGATGCTGACATCCATTAGCAACGTCTGCCTGGTGTGTGGAATAGGCATGGGCCAGAAGTGTCAGTTATTTACCATCCCTGCCCTAGCCTCTCTGCCCAGGGGCATGCCTCTTGTGAGCATGAGCCCGCCCACTGTTCACCGTTCCAGCCTCTAGCGGTGGCCGTGGGAAGGCCTGAACTTTCCTTCTGTGTGTTTGCTGTTCCGTCCAGATGTTTCCATCTGCCTGGGAGCCCTCAGAGGATAGACTGAGGGCCAGTGGCACACCCAGGGGTGTGGGATGTAGGAGCGGTCTGCCTGCGGAGGAGCATTTTCTCACTGACACTGTTTAGAATTGCTGGGACGAGGTGGTAATGAAAAGCAGAAGGACTTAGTAGGTTTTATTACTATTTTAAAATTCTCCACGGATCATACCCTACTTATTACCTGCACCTGGGGTGGATGTCGCCTGCTGCCCCAGCCTTCCCCCCTTTGCCCCTCATGAGTGCTCCCTGGGAGCCAGGGGCCTGTCTTCTTCCTCTGTTTTGACACCACCTCCCCACAATGGTTGAGGGGGCTGTATTCTCTGACCCCTCAGGGACACACTTGGCTCCATCTCACAGGCCCTCAGCACTAGGGCCTGGCCTCTGGGACCTCCGACCCTATCAGGGCTCCCCAGAGGGTGCCCCATCTTAGTCTCACTCCTCCCATGCCTCCCCTCTCTTCCCCTCCCCTGGCCCACCTGGTGAAGAGGATGTCGGCCTCATATTTGAGGTGGAAGCGCAGGGGGGCCGTGTTGTCTTCCTTGGTGCTCTCCTCCTCGTCACTGTCACTGCAGAGAGCAAGGCAGCGTGGTCAGGAAGGGGCTGGTCCTCCCTCCACCCAGCTCAGCCCACACATCTACCGGCTCACTGCGGCAGGGGGGGCCTGAGGTAGACGGAGGAAGAGAATCCTGGCTCCTCTAGGGCTCATAAGTACTAGGACAGCCAGAGAGGGAACCTGAATTATCTCCCAGGAGGCGAAGGGCCAGGCGGCAGGGGAACTGGTGCCATCGGCTTTTCCTGCTGCCTTTCTAGGTGCAGCACATCTGGGCTAGTGTGGGGCAGGGAGAGACTGGACAGAAGCTGGGAGGACCCCTGTGTGGGCTTAGCCACTAACTGCCTGCGAGCCCTCCTCGGTCAGAGGAGCAAATCCTGGCCTGTGGGCGCGAAGGGAGATGACACCTGTGGGACAAAGGCTGCCTGCTCTGCCCAAGTGAGGAGGACTCCCCAGTAGAGTGGTTTGGTTATCCTTGAACCAACCCCCCTGAGCTGACTAGGGCGGCGGCAGCTCCCACAGGTTGGCTGAGGGTGCTTTGCTGCCTTGAAAAGGCTGGATAGTGAAACTAGGAGACATTTGGAGGGAGTTTTGTCAAATGTGTTGCCTTTTAATCTGAGCACAATGAACAACCAGGGGAAAAAATTTCAGAGCTAGGAAGACATGATTTCTTCTCGTTACACGCACTGAGTTTGATTCCCTTTGGAAGGCTTACCCCAGGATAGGGGTTTAGTTAGAAAGGGGATACCTGACACACGCAGACACTGCAGTGTCCCCGTCCTGCACACATCTGATTCACAAAAACCCACAGCTGTGCAAAGACACTACTGTGCAAGTACATTCATTTCCCCGTGAGAATGGGACGATGTTTTCTAAAAGCAGGGAAGAGCATGAGGGAGGCCTTAGGATACTAAGACATCCTACAAACTCTGTCTTACGTTAAGTGAGAATTTCACCAAAATGTACAATTTGCTTAACTACAGCACATGCTGGTGTGTTGATCCCCAGTGCTCCCTCCAGTGACCTCTGAACTCGTGTGTGTGTGTGTGTGTGTGTGTGTGTGTGTGTGTGTGTGTGTTGGAATGTTGGTGTTCAGGTTGCTTGCACTATTGATTTCTCAGTGCAGAGAAGTTCTCAGGAGGGTTTTGGCCGTTTATAAGGCTCCAGAGTAGTCAGAATCCCTTCCTGCCTCCTTACGTTCCCACCCAGAAATAATTCTGGGGGGGGAAAAAAAAAGTGTGTTTATTACTGAAACTGGGTGATTCACAGTGTCAACCTATATAGCAAACTCCATGGGAGACAGACAGACAGGCCTACACAGAGTAAGGGAAGCTCTTTTAAAAATGGAAAAATTTCCAAGGGGAGAGAGGTGACCAGGACAGAAGGAGCCCTGGATAAGGAGTAGGCTAGTGTTCAGCTCTCAGATGTACGATTTACATGCTGTGTGTCATTGAGAAATTCACCCAACCTCTCTGAGCTTCCCTTTTCTTATCTGTAACTTGGGAGGAGGTGGGGGGAATAACTCTTGCTTTGCCTATCTTAGGGGGCTGCTGTGAGGACTGACTGAGATATTATATGTACAATGCTTTATAACTGTAGGGTTTTAAAATAGCTACTATATAAAATACTATATAAAGATAAGGGCATTACTTATATCCAGACCACCTAAGCATGAATGGTGGCAGTATAGCAGGCAGTAGGTTGGCCCACACCTGGGTACTGACTAGGGGCCCTCTGAGAGTGGGGCAGTTAACGGACAGGGCTTGGGGGGGAGATTCAGTTTGAGGAGGGGCGGTTCCTAGCAGCAGAACAGGGCCCAGAAGAAGTGACCTGGGAGGAAGGAGTGGTCAAGGCCCTGACCTGCCGGCTGTGAGCTGGATCTCCAAGTGGTGCAGGAAGATAGATTTGCTGAACTCGAAATCTAGACGGAAAGACACCTGCAAAGAAGAAGTCACTGCAGCTGGGGTGGCTGGGAACTACATGCCTGGGCATTACCCAGACCAGCCCTGGTCCAGCCCCCCAACTCCCTGCCCACTTGGGTGGGCCCTGCTGGCTGGGCGTGGGCTGGGGGAGGGAGGACCAGGTGCTAGAGTAATGCGAGCTGAGCTTTGCACAGACCCCTGTGTTCTTCTCAGGTCTGACCCTCCTGGGGTTTCCCCAGGAGACCTGGGGTCCCCTTTTCCCGGGGAGCAGCAGGGGTGGGATAGGGAGCTTGAGCTGTGTGCTGGCTGCCTGGGGCTTCACTCTAGGGCCCCTGGTTTGTCAGAGTCTCACCCCAAAACTACAATCTTGACTTGTGTCCCACTGGGAAGATTCTTTTACGAGGAGCCCTGATCTCCCTCCCCTGTGTCTCCCCCTGCCCCAGCCTTGCAGACCCTGCTCCTGGGAACATGCTGCTACTCTCTTGCTGGCTCCTGCCTCAAGCTCCCCTCTGGTTCCTGCTTTACAAGCAGTTTGGCCTCAGTTATGTCTTCTCTTGCTTTAGAACTCTCAGTGGCTGTCCACTGCCCAGGAGGGATGGGCTAACACCCCCAAGGTCTGGAGCTTACCTCCTTTTCCCTGCAAATTTGCTTCTCCCATCACACACCTATGCCTTTAAGTACATGGCAGGTGCATGAGAAGTGTTTATTTTTCTCCCCATGTACAGCATGATGACAGAGACTGGACATTTAGAAAACTTGTTAGGATAAAGGACAGTGGGATAATTGGTAGAGAGTGATGGGGTGGGACTGGTAGGACTGCCCCTGAGGTGAAAGGACCAAGGTGCTCTCCTGGGGCTGCTGCCTTCTAGATGGCTGTCTGCTTAGGCCGTTTGAATGTCATTGCATGGGGAAAAAAATGAACACACTTAAAACCCACCCACAGGACTCTCCCTCCCTCCCCGGTTCTCCCCTCTGTTCTCTTCCATTTCCCTTGCCTCCCAGTGCCTCCCAGTAACCAACCTGGTCCCTCACTGAACTTTCCCCAGCCTCTACCTTGGCCTTGGCCCGGAAGAAGGGGTAGCTGACATTGCAGACTTTTTTGTGGAGTCTCCTCTCCTCGTTCACGCACTCAATGCTGCCGTCAGAATCATCCTGGGGGCGGGTAGGGGACATGGGAGTAGCAGTTAGATAGGGCATGAGATCCAGGCCTGGGGGCCACCACCACCCCCCATCACCCCTGCTGAAGCTATAGCACAGCCCCTCTGACACTGGGACCACAAGGCCCCTGGAGGCTCGGGTGTGGCAGGGGTGGGGACTGCTCAGCTGTGCTGGGTTGTGGGGAGCGTGGGCCAGCGCTCCAGGTATATGCCTTGTCACTCCCTCTGCATCAACCTGGGATGCAGGCTTTATCATCCTACTTATAGGTGGGGACCCTGAGGCCCAGAGATGGGAAGTGACTAGCTCAGACCACTGGAAAGTGGCATGGAGCTGGGATTCAAAGACTCTCCAGTCTGGCTGTCCTGCCTCCCCCTGGCTTTGTGGCCCTTGGGTTGACCTTTCCATCGGGAGGATTGGAAAGGATCTCTTTGGGCCCTGAAATGAAGCTTTTGGGGCTGCTCAGGACCTCCCCGGAGCCTCTGCTGCCGTCGGACTTGCAGGCTGTGCTGCTTTCCTTTTTCTGTGGCTCCGCCCCCGTCAAACCCTCCCACCGCTGTCCGGTTCAAGGCTCTTTATACCTGGTCTCTCACTGGCTGCCGGGCATTGAGAAAAGGTTGGCAGAGTTTAGGGGGAAATGTCACCAGGCTCCCCGGCTTGTCTGGGGCCCCACTGAGTTGGCCCAAGTGTCCAGAGGGAAGGGACCCAACACAGTGCACTAGCTAGTGCTGCTAGTTGGTACTCATTTGCTTGGGTCTCATTTTGCTCATCTGTTAAATGGGGATAATAGTATCTACTACATTTAGTTGTTATGAGGATTAAGTGATAAATGCATGTAAAGGCAGGGCCTAGTTCAATGCTCCAGCTCGTGTAATCACTTCATATATGGCTGCTATCACCACCACCACCACCACCACCACCACCACCACCACCTCCACCTCATGGGGTTGTTGTGGGGGTTAAATGCATACCAAGAGCTGAGCACAGTGCCAGGCATTGTAAGTGGTTACGAAGACAGAGCAGAAGCTTGTCAGGCAGAGGAGGGAAGGGGTCCCAGGTAGGAGACCGAAGTGGAAAGGGCCTTGGTGCAAACGAGTAGGTGTGCTGGGAAACTGCAGTGGCTGGTGGGGCTAAGGGTGTGGGAGTGAGGGCAGAGATGGCAGGTGGTGAGTGGCGAATGACACAATAAGGAGTTTGGAATTTGTTGTAAAAGCTACTGGGAATGATAGGAGGTTTTCAAGTGGGAGAAACTTGTCCTGATTCTTGTTGGAAGGACCCTGCTGAGAAAGCCTAGGACAAACTATAGGCAGAGGGTGTGTACGCGTTGGTGCGCGCACGCATGGTGTGTGTGTGTACGTGTGTGTACGTGCATGCGCCAAAGACACAGGCTGAAGGACATTCCCCCACACATTCCCAGAGGTCTCAGACTCCCTTCTACTGGTAGTTCTCAGCCCTGGCTGCACACTGACTTCACCTGGGCAGCTTTAAAAGCACCTGATCCAGGCCCCACTGCACGCCAGGTCAATTAGAATCTCTGGGGGAAGTCTGGACACAGACATTTTTAAGTTCCCAGGTGACTGTAATGTGCAACCAGGCCCTTGCCTGGACCGTTCCTCTCCTGCCTCTGTCCTTTGCGTGAGGCAGGCTGGGCAGGTTGCAGTGGTCTTACCTTTTGGATCAAGCTGGCAAACTGCAGGTTTGCTGACTGTGAAATATTTAGGACTGTGTTATAGGCGTTCTCGCCCCTGTTCTCCAGCATGGCCTCCACAGCCACCCGCCGACGCGTGCTCTCTATGATGAAAACTGTGGTATCAAAGGACAGCGTGTATGCAGAGCAGTCCTGAGCAGGCTTCCTCAGCACCCTCTGGCAGTACTCCCTGTGGGAAAGAGACCACTAGGGGTCAGGCTGATGGTATGGGGAATGCAGGGATAGACCTCACTACTCATGCATCACCTCCCCACTCAGCGTGTTTCCTTTTTTGCTTTGACTACCAGGAAGCTCAGAGCTAAATGTAAAGACAATTCTGATGATTAGCCTACATGATTGGAATTTTTGTTTCTTCATCCTCCTACGAGGTTTGGATGTGCTATTTCTATTTATTGTACGTACATGTCATGGTGTATATGTCTTCTATCTAAGTCATCTCATAGTTGGGTAAAAGTTGAGCAAAAATTATTTGAAAATTATTAAATACATTTAAAATAGGACATTGTTCCTTATTTTTCCTTGTGTGTTAGTTTGTTTCTTCGAAGGGATTGTGGGCACCCTCTGCTAGCCTCCTTAGCGTGGAGCTCAAGTGGTCAGTCAATGAACTTCAAAGGTCACCTAATCTGGGGGTTGGAGGATGAGTACCTGGATCTCCAGGTCCCTGGCCTCCACCTTTTATGTGTTTTGTAGTATAGGCTCCAAAGGAAGGATTCCTTTTTCTAAACCAAGTTCAAAGAGGTTGGATTAGACTGTATGCATTTTACAAAGTAGATAACTGAGGCCCAGAGAGGGGAGTTTTGCCCAGGGGAGGTCACACAGGAGTCAGAAGCAGGGCCTGCACTAGTCCCAGGATGCAAGTTCTGTGTTTGATCCATGGTGCCTAGAGGAGGATGTGCAGGAAATAATCCAGGGCCCTGGGAGCCCCAGCTCCACCAGGAAGGAAGGAAGAGGAGTCGGGGGGCGGGTGCAAGGAGGCGCCAACTCACATGGCTGTGGGCAGGTCGCTGCGGGCGTCCAGCAGAAGGTCAGGGACACAGTGCTCGTCCTCATTGCAGCCATTCCAGAAGGGCACCTGGGCCGGGGAGAGGCAGGGGTGGGCAGCTGGATAGGGCACCCATAGCCTGGAGTCCCCATCTGTGCGGCGGGCCATCCCTCACCCCCACAGCCCACCAGCTCCTCTCTCTACGGCACTCGACAAGGGCTTCAGCTTTTCTTCCCTTTTCACAGACAGCACACTGGCGTTTCTCACGCTTTGGCATAGATACTCCTTCTATAAAACACGACTCAAAACTCAGCGCCTCCTGGGTCTCTTTCAGTTCTTCACTGAGGGGAAGAACTGGTACCACAAAATCCCCACACTGGTGCCACAAAATCCCCACTTACCCACCAGAGCAGTTCCAGGGAACATTTATTGATCATCTACTGTGTGGAGGGCAAGGTCTTTGGTACTGGGGCTATAGGATGAGGAAGACCCAGCTTCTGCGCTCAGCTCATGGGGAACATTGGTGTGTGAACAAATAATTATAGTGTGAAATGTGCAAAAAATGATCTAGAAATCTGTATGAGGAAGAGGCAGAAAGGAGGAAACAGTTATTCTGGCCTGTAGATGGTCAGAGAAGGCTTCACAGAGCCGCAGGTCAGAATTCTGAGGGGTGACCAAGTTAGCTGGATGGACCAGATGGGGAGGGGATTCCAGGAGGAAGATCAAGCCGTGCAAAGGCCCTAAGGCGCGAAGCAGCATGGTGAGTTAGGGAAGCGAAGCAGCATGGTGAGTTAGGGAAGTGAACGGTCGTTTGGTGTTGCTGTAGTAAGGAGTAGAGGAGATGAAGAGGCCGGCAGAGGCCAATTCTTAAGGGCCTTGGGGTCGTGCCTTGCAACTGATAGGAGCCACTGACTGTTTTTGGCAGGGGAGTGTCCTGCCAGACCTATATATTGAAGGCTCCCTCTGACTGCCAAGGATGAATGAACTTGAAGAGTCAAGACCAGAGGCAGGGAGACCATTGAGGGGACCGCTGCAATGTTCATGCAGGACATGATGATGGTCACAGTGTGGTGGTTGATATGAGGAGGAGAAAACAGGTCAGGGACCTCAGAGATGGGGCCCATAGGTCATGGAGTTCGTCAGGGATAAGGGAGAAAAGGATCCAGGATGTTGGCTGAGTTTTGTTTTTTTTTAGTGTCTGGAAGGATGGCACGCCATTCCTCCATAAGTGGAGGGGTTAAGTGGAGGAATTCAGTTTGGGGCATGTTGAGTTTGAAGTGCCTGTGGTCCATTCCAGGGTGAAATGCTCAGCAGGCAGTTAGGTACTTAAATTTGGAGGTGAGGTGTAGCAACTGTCACCATCAAGAACACAGCCCAAACTCAGAGGAAGCCATGCATACCTCAAATTCAGTAACTCTTCTCAAAGGTGAGCTCCCTACCCCTCACTCAGATCCATGTCCTGGTAATATAGACACGTTTCTATCAAGCCCGCCCGTTGGCTTCCCCATCACATGGTGGATTTGCAGCTAGAAGCAGGCAATTGTGATAAGCGGCCAGGAAAGGAGACAGCAGGGTTATATGAAGTAGCACAAAGCGAGGCCATTCCGTGAAGGGACATAGTTCAAGACACTTTGGTAGTCCTCAGGGGCTTCGCTGTATTCTAGCACCCGTGTCATCTTGGTAATTTTAAATCTATGATACCTTCCACCCCTGCCCAGCATACTGTAAGAAGTGTGAAAACTACATAATAACTTTCGGGGAAATTTCTATCCAGTTCATTAAAAGGAATAACTTAACGTGATAAGCAACTGTTCCACTCAATTATATGGAATGGCCCCTACCCCTAAGAGGTGAGATACCACAGCACTAGAACAGTGCAGGGCATTTAGAAAATGCTAAATAAGAATTTGAAGAAGAGTGATGGGAAGAATGTTTTTACGAGGTCTGACAATTAAGTTTGCAAACTTAATTGCGAACTTAATTCACAATTCGTAATTTGCTGGGGGCTAGAAATCCAGATTAATAAGATTTCTAGAAATTTAGCTGCTATTCAAAGCCCTCAGGAATATGCTCCAGACGGTCTTTTCCAGCTCTATTTCTCACCTTTCTTTATATATCCTTTCACTTTACTTTTCCCCACTTTCGTACCTTAGTTATATTGTCAGCTTTCTTGGAGCAAAAAAAGCCCATCCTCCCATTTCTGCATATCTGAATCCTGTCTATCTTTTAGGGTCCATTCGAAAGCCACCTCCTCCAGGAAGCCCCCCTGCCCTATCATCTGACTGCTTGATTACACCTCCTCTGAGCTCTTCAACCTGGCCTATGACCCTTATCACCGCCTTGCATGGAGATCAAGTGTCAGAGCAGTGAGTACCCCCTACGTGTTAATCTGCATCATGGGCTTCTACATGCCTGTAGAATGAATGACACGTACTCACTCACTCATTCATTTGCTGTAGCGACTTTGTAATTATAGTGATGGGGAAAAATACTAATGACTTGTGCACACAGCTTTTCTCCTCTCCTGGCTCCTTAATGGGGTTCCAGCTGTGCCAGCCCCTTTCTCTCCCTCTCTTGGACTGCATTTTAAGGCACCCTCTCTCGTGCATTTGTGACACAGAATCAGGAGGAAAGGGTGAAGGTGTGAAGTTCAAGGGTTGGACAGCAGGTTGTGGAAGGTTTGGGAATGGGGATGCTGGGGGAGCTGGGGGGGGCCAGTGGGGGTGAATGGGAGCAGAGGGGATTTTCAGAAGCGTTGCTGTTGGAGTTCTTTTTATGTTGGAGAAATACAAGTAAGAACAAGAAAGAGTAATTCTGAAATTGTGGTCTGCTGGCTAGATTCTGTATAATAATTCTCAGAGACATTCTCGGAGACCAGACCTCATAGATCATGGTCTTAACAGCATTGTGGTCTATTTTAGAGTCATTTCCTAAATCCCCAGGGTTCAGGTATGAGATATTCCATTTTTACAAATTTTGCCTGCTCTCCCAGCACAGCTCTGACTGAATTGATTACTGTCTGACATTTTCTTTGAGGGGGCATCTGAGTGTCAGATTCCAGAAAGTTCTGATGTTCCTAGAGCCAGGGATTAGAAAACGTGGTTGAAGATGGGGCCAGAGCCAAGGGTGAGGCTAAAAGCCCCCATTTTGGGCATACTTAGGAGCGGGTGAGAGGATTGTCTGTTAATCAGTCCGTCAGTCAATAAGCCGCAGACCGGGCCCTCTCTGGCCTCCAGTGTCCTCATCTGTAAGTAAGGAAGCTGGGAGATTGAGATCTAAGACCTATTCTAATCTTGTGATTCTCAGGTTTTGTGACCCACTCAGTGCTTCCTGCCCTGTGTTGGGGATATGAGGGAACCTTGAACAGAAGGCCTGGTCCTTACCCTCAAGAAACTGTTCAGCACGGGTCGCAAGGGAGGAGGGAAGGAGCCATGTTGCAGGTGTGCCGGGGGAGGTGGGAAGGTGTGCTAAGGGGAGAATTCCTTTGTACCCAGCACACTCAGCTCAGGGCTTCTGGGAGGAGGTAAGGGCGGGCATGGGGTGGGGTATGCACCAGAGTTGTGTGCCCTGTGTGCCAGGATGTACCGAGACTCTGAGGGTAGTGGGCCAGCCATCGTCCAGCATGGGGCCATGGTTGGGGTCCTCCAGGGAATATTCAACTGAGAAGGTCACTGGCTTCACGTAGTCAGCGGTGTCCTAGGTGGGAGGAGATGAGAACAGGAGTCAGTGCCGAGGGAATGTCTGTTTCTGGGCTAGGCTAAGTCCACTGAGAGAGGACTTCACTGCCCTAAGCTGGGTGGGCAGTGTCCTGCCGGTCCTCAGCATGAGTTCAGGATAAAGGAGCTGTCATGGGCTGATGGACATTTCCAGTGCGGGCCACAGCTGAAGCGTGTGCCTCCTGGAAAGGACCCTGGGCTCTGCGTATGCCAATCCGCCTGCCTGGATGTTTCACCACGCTCCTGTTCATCCTTTAAGGCCGGGGGCCCCCATCTCCCCAACACGTTGGCCTCCAGGAAGCCAGGGAGCACCCATCCCCATCTCCTGTCCAGATCTGTTACGGCCACTTCCACATGGCATTCAGACGATCTGATTGTGTGTCAGTCTTCCTCCTTTAAAAACCTCTTAGCACGGTCCTAGCACCGTGACAGGACTTAGTAAGTACGTTAAATCAATAAATGAACAAACATGTGAACAAAATAGGGGTGATTCAGGTTGGTCCTATGGACTGATGGTAAGAGGGGCTGCGTAGAGCTGCCTAAAAAATCTCCCCCAGGGAACCCAAATCCTGACAGGAGGGGCTTCTTTGTATTAAGGCCGGGGCTCTCAAACTTGAGCTTGCATCTGAATCCTGGGAAGGGGAGGGCTGCTAAAACACTGAGTCCCGCCCCTGAGTTTCTGATTCAGCGGGCCTGGGATGAGGCTTGAAAATGTGCGTTTCTAACAAGTTCCCAGGTAATGGGATGCTGCTGGTCCCAGGGACCACACTTCGAGAACCAGTGCACAAGCACATCAGACGGGGCACCATGCTGAGAGCCGTGAGGACTTCTCATCCCTGCTCGCTTTTCTGACTTTACCCATTGCATACTGGGGACAGGGGGGACTCTGCTTATGTCCCTGAGGTGGAGCTGTGGCCTGGGTACTTGGAGTTTCTGGATGAGGTGGACTTCTCATCCTCTTCTTTATGCAGAAAATGGGGCACCAGGCTCCCACTGGTTTTCCCTCTCAGCCAGGCTGGTCTCTCTCTGTCCCTGCTCTCAGCTTGTCCGCACCATGCCTGCTTTATTTGGTTTTTATTTTTAGCTGATGCCTGTTTATCCTTTCCTTTCCATTCATGGTCCCTGCCAGCTGACCCTGTTCTCGCCACTAGACCTCGCTGAGCCCCCTCCGTCCTCAAATTTCATCCCCTGCTAGAGAAACAGTGGGCACCTGGAAGCTGGGGAAGAGGGGGTTTTGGAGGATGGCATAGTGGAGTCGTAGGTAGTGTGTCCCAGTGGCCTTTGCTCTGGGGCATGAGTGTGGGTGGCCATGGTCTAGGACA